TGGCTGAGCGCCGGCCGGGAGGCGCCATGGTACAGCCCTCATGGTGGGCCTGTAAATAGCCCAGCCCCGTCCGCGTGGTGGCCCCGGCCGGCCCGCAGGCAACCTGTTCCTACAACCAGAGTCTATAAAGAGAACTAACTATGTGCCACGCGCCTGCGTCTCCTCAGCTCGCCTAGGGGCCCCTCCCACCACCCACTCAGTCCAGTACCGGGGTCTGCTGTGTGGGGGCCCAGTGCTGGTGCCAGGTTGTCCTCAGCCCTGGAGCCGGCACAGCCTGAGGGGAAGATCTCCCTGCTGTTGTGAAGAGGGAGTAGTTTCCATAAGGGGAGGCGGAGTCGGTCACTCGTGTGGCTCTAAGGAGACTGTCCAGAGGACAGGCTGGGCGGAGGGCCTGGGGATGGGGTTGTGGAGACGTGGCCTCTGGTCAAATGGAACAGAGATGCCAAGGGCGGGCTGGAAGCGAGGATGCCTGAGGATGTGGGGAAGAGGCTTTACGCGTGGAGTGGGCGCGGCCCTGTGGCAGGTGTGGTGGCTGTAACCTGATGGCCTTGGTTCTGGGGACTCTGCTCCACATGCCTGAACCCTCCTCCCCCAGCATGTCTTGGGGGTAATGGGCTCCTTTCCTATCCATACATGAGTCCCACCAGGCCTAGGGCCTCACCTGTGGGGTGGGCAGCAGGTGGAGGATGGGTGTCACAGAGGCTGAGAGACCATCCCAGAGTGGTCTGGGAGGTGCCCACTGGTTCCTGGTTAGAGAGGGGCTAGTGGTGTGAGGGTCTAGCTAGAGGTGGCACCTGTCAAGTAGAAGGTAAGCAGAAGTGTGGACACAGGTGCAGGTGGGACTTTTGCCGGCATGGGGGGTGGAATGACCCTCTGGTCTTCCCTACGCCACATGGACGGCTGTGGGACCAGGGTTTCCAACACTCAGGAAACCCAAAGGTCTGGGTCCTGTGCCTGGATTTCATGTGGAGGCCATGGGGCTATTCCCTGAGGCCGGGGGGCAAGAGGCCAGAAATCACCAAAGCAGGGGCCTTGGGGCAAGGTCAGTGTAGCACCAGGGCTGCCTTGGAGACCATCCTCCTGGCCCTGAGCAGCCAGGGACAGACCCCGGGGTGAGTGTCACCTTACTCTGCCCTCTAGCTGCCCCTCCCACCTGGCCAGGGAAGACAGGGTGGCCCTCCCTCTGAGCAAGCGCGCGCCAGGCAGTTTGCTCACAAGGAGGAAAAGCTCAGTATTTGTTCAGAGTGTTCTGCTCATTGTTGCTCAGGTGTTTGAGCTGGGGCAGCAG